ATTTATAAATTTTAGGCCAGTCTCCTTTCAGCTAACTAAGAGAGGAACTGACGCCAATTTTGTTTACTTGACCTGACTTTAATAGCAGGTAAAGTTATCCCTGGCTTCCCAGGTGGCGCAGCAGTAAAGAATCTGCCTTCCAATGCAGGAGCCATAGGAGACACAGGTTCAATCCCTGGGTGGGAAGATCCCCTGGAGGAAATGGCAACCCACTGCAGTATTCCTGCCAGGATAATCCCATTGACAGAGGAGCCTGGTGGGCTATACACCCCATGGGGTTGCAAAGAATCAGATATGACTGAGCGCATGTGCACAAAGTTATCCTCACAGTGCTATTGTCAGTGCAGCAGAAGAAATTTACTGTGGAAATATGTTTCATGCCCCTGAAAGCTTAATTGAGAACCAATCTCTTTTACTACTTAAAACCGTGTGTGTGTGTGTGTGTGTGTGTGTGTGTGTGTGAAATAGAAATAAGCATTTGATGACATATGTAACTTTCTTATGTTAAACATTTTTATTACAGTAACATATTTGAGTAGTTGAAATAATGTCATCATACAGGTATCACATGCTGAAGCATGACGATGCAGTACTAATTGCAGACTGTATTGACATTTCAAGCGTATTTTCTGTAACAACATTTGCATTCATATACACGCAGTAAAACACATGGGGATAATCTGCATCATGATTCACGGGGGCAAATGTATTGCTTTCAAACTAATCTTCAAACCTAAAATCTTCAGCCAATCTATTAATATGCAAAGTTGTAGTATGTATGTTAGTTATTAAATGAACCAACCAGCTCAGGACTAAAACTTTTGTTGTTAGTCTTTGAAAGAGAAATATCAGCATTATCTGATAACTTTTGTAGGTAAGTCTTACTAATTTAGAAAATATTAGCCTATTGAATAATTATTTTACCAACAGTTTTCAAATTGGCAGGTGAGGATAAAATAAAAACTTCGTGTAGCTCTTTTTAGTTAATACAGTCCAGTTAATACAAAATGTTTCACCTGCATAGTTTTCCTTCAATACCATATACCCACTCATAATAAGGCAAAAAGAAAAAAACACCAAGAAAGGCAACAATCTCAAAGTGTGCAATTAATTTTAATTTAACACTTTTGGTCACAAGAGTGTTATTTGCAGCCATGTGTCTTGGTTCATATGGATCCAAATAATTAATGCTTTTTGGACACTGAAAAGTCAAACTTGTTCTCAAAAATCTCAGCAGAAAAACTGAACTTGATCCAATAGCACATCTTATCTAAGTTTTATTATTGCTGAGGCAAAAATATACCACTATAAACCAATATTTTAAAAAGCAGGATTTCTCTTTTCTTGACTTTTCCATGCAAAGGTCAAAACTTTAAATGGAACTTGAAGTTTAAAAAAGAAGAAAAGAAAGAAAAAAAAAGTGTAATGAAAAAAATTTTGATTAATACACTTTCAAAATTTATTTGTAAGTAGCATTAGTCCAAAATATTTAGATAACTAATTCAGTTCTGGAAAGTTTTATTAAATTTCTCAATCTCAAGATAAAAGAAATTTTTACAAATCACCAGGTCACAAGAACACAACAATTGTACTTACACTTTTTATCGTTTAACCCTTAGGACCAAGTAAACTAAGACTCAAAATGTTGAAAAAGCATCACAGAACAGAAGAGGAAGGTATTTATTGTCACTCTTCTCAACATATTTGCTATTATATTTTGAAGAATATACATATAAGAATTAATCAAATGCTTTATGGAAAACTACAAATAATAGAACTTATGCAACTATCAATTTTTTGGTACTTTTGAAAATGTCAAGTAATGTGGAAGTTTAGATTTAAAGAGAATTTTTAAATGGAATGACTTTGTTATGCTAAAGAAGAAAGCATTTGGATTAATTTATATTAAAATATGAAATTTAAAGTTAGATAACTAAAGTTTATAATCATATACTTTCTAATGAAAAAAGAATTAGAATGAAATCTTTCTCTTGATGTCTACAAGCCACTATCATCTAGCTGCATGTAAGTATTGGATGAGAAGACTGGGGTTTTTGGCTTGAGTTTGGTTCATGTTAGTTTCAGGGGGAGAACTAAAAAGAGTTTTGTGTATTTTAGACCTAATTCAGAGATATGAAAAAATGTGTATAGATCTTTGCATCTAATATTCCTATTGCCATTTTCATATTTGATCTTACTATAATTTAATTTTTACACATGCAAGATAAAATAAAAATTGTTGCTAATAATCATAATATGAATCACAATAGTTCTTTCAACAGACTACATGAAGCAAATACTATTACAATGCTGGATTATTACAGTGAAAACTAATCTGCAATCTCATACAATATTCATATATGATAATTTAACATTAAAAGGTTGCTTCTTGGGCAGTTCTGGAATAACTTCAATCATATGCAGTTCTGGAAAGCATTAGTCACAGAATATCAGGGATATATCTTTTAATAACAGAATGAAAATATGCTTTCATCACAAGTAAACCAAACTCCCTATTAAAAACTCTGGTAAGACTGAATAGCTTCTGGAGTTTTTCACATAAAAAGGTATGTTCTCTCCTAGAAGAGAGTCAGACCCATACTATCACTTATACTGATATATTTTAACTCTATGAATAAAAAATTTATAATAAAAACTAAGGAATATTTTATATTACTAAAACATTTCTATGGCCTCTAGAGACTTTCACAGTTTATTACTGTGTCTTCTTAGTTTCTCATTAAGGAATAAGCGTGAACACAATCATAGTCCACAGGGTACCAGGCAGTATACATAAATAATGAGCACATGGCTTTTATTTACATCTTCCTTATATCAGAACTAGATGAGTCTAAAGATGCAAATGTGGGCAAGAAAATTATAGCACTCAAAAAAAGTCAGACTTGGGTAGCTAGAGGAATCAAATTCAATTGTTAATAACTAACTGGGTAGTTTCATATATTTACTCTTTAAAAAAATTTTTTTCCCCTAGGGAGAGACATGTTAGACATTCTTTTCGCTCTAGCAAATTAAGTCACCATTGTGATTTAAGCTAACACAAGTGAGTGGCCAAGAAACTGGATTGATATCATACATCAGACTTTTGAAACTGTGTCTCATTCATGAACAAATTATGAATCTGAACCAAAAAAATGACTAAAATTGCTCCATGAAAAGGCCTGCTTGCTGATCATTCTTACAATGATTTTGTTAATATCCCAATTTCAGCATTATTTATTCTCCAAAATTCTAAACATATTTAGGAATTCACAAAATAGTGTCATAAACACTCAGAGCTACACTGTGATTTCCTCCATCCTAACATCCTTATCCTCTTTTCCCACAAAGACAGTAACTCTCCTTTGTGATGCAATTAGCAAGGAAGAGTATCCATTGGAATATGAGTGGTTGGTAGTCATAAAGAATCCAGTAACTAGCAATAATTTAGGGAAGAACCTATTTTATCCAAATACAGCCTCAGAATATGGCTTTAAAAGCAAAATATATCTAACTTACAACTTTGGGTTGTCAGTTATCCAGCTTGTGAATTAAAGCAGGCCAGTTTGCCCCTCTCAGTTCTCCTTCTGCTTTGGGACCATTTCTCCATTTACTGGAAAAAGCTTTCAGGATAGTAAAAGGAGGTAAAACATTCATGAATGTTGCAAATAATTACCATCTGTGAAAAATAAAACTACTGGGAGAAATTAAAATAAAATCCTAAAAGGTGAATATTGCATTCTTGAAGAATACCCATGGTATTTTTTATATTTGTATAGAAAACTGAAAGCTCACTCATAGTTTTTGAAACTGCAAGCAAAAAAGGAAGTAAACTGCTATGAAAATTATGCATAATAACTTTGGACAAGATGAAAACTTCATACTCTATTTTGATTTTTTTGAAATGCTCAAGAGCACATCCATAACTAATAACATTTAGTAATCATAATCTTTTTGTAATAATTTAGATGACTTTCTATGGTGCAATATGAAACTCTGTATTAGTCTTTGCAATGTACATTGGTCTCAAAATTGAGACTTATAAAATAATGTGACACATTCATTCTGTAACATTGAAATAAGTTTAAAATATCAGCTCTTCCCCTTCTGAAGAAGAAAAGAAATTATATTTGATCATATGTATCCATCAGAGGTATACTTTCAAAAAAGAAAACATAAGTGGTATGAGTGGTAAGAGATGCAAAAACCATATGGAAAGATTTTGCTATTACCACCATTTTCTGTTCCATTTATGTGACTCTCAATAAAAAGTAAAAATACAAGCTAGTAAGTTTAAGTTTTAACCCATTGGATTGTCTTTCATTTTAGACAGTATTGTGGTCTTACTAGAGTCTTACTGAAAAAGTACATTATCATTTTCACAAGTAGCTAGATTCCCACACTGAGGAATAAAAATATTGGAGAATCCGGGTGGGATTTTTATATTAATAGCATGCTACTGTGTGCTATAGTAATGACAAACCCATTTTATACTTAGTCCTATCATCAAGCAACACCAAGCTTCTAATTTTTGTTTTCATTTTAAATGGCTACTAATATATATAAGAGAATTAATAAAGTAATATACTATTAATTCTTTTTAAGTCAAAAGTATTATCTAGAAAATAATTTAACACTGTAATGGGATCTTCAAGATCAATTCTGTTTTATATACTCTGCAGCAAAAATAACATTTCTAGTAGGAAGGTATTAATTATAAACCTAGCAAATTCTAGACATTCACATATTTGTGTAAACAATTTTAACATGGTTTATTACATTTCCAGAAAGGTTAAATCTTATATCCAGTTTCCTGCTAATTCTTCTCTCATATATTATAATAAATACATGTGTTATTTGAGTGCATGTGTGTACATATTTTCACACACATATATGTCATATATACATAAAACAGTAGTTAATGGTGACTGTCTTTTCAATGTTAAATTGGGAAAAATATGAATTGCTATTATGCATAACCCATGGCGATCTTCCCTTCTGTTTCACAAATGGCCATATCGGGATGTAAACAAAACATTGGAGCGAGCCATTCCAGGTGAACTGTATTTCAAGTTGTAGGTTGGTGTTCTCATGAAGAATTGTGTACTTCCTGGTAGTAAATACCTAAAAATAATAGTTAAAAAATTAGACTTTTACAAACAAATAAATATTAATATCTCCCACTAAAGTGTTATGTGGTTAATAACTTGTACATCTTACATGAGATATGACACTATAACAATGCAATCCACATAAAAAAATTTCCTCTCTTGAGGAGGGGAGCCAGGAAAGGGTCATAAAGACTCACTCAAAGAGCTGAAGATAGATGCAAAATGTGGTCTTAGTATCCCAAGATAGCCCATAAAGAGCCATGAACTCCCAAGCTAGGAAACTGTTTACATCACTCATGTTAATTTGGAATTCATTAATAATCTCTGTAAATAATATGTGTAGCCAGTCAAATATTTCTTAAAAACATGTAACATGAGAATTTGGCTAACCACATTAAAATAATTATTTCAAGGATGTTGAAACCATTGATTTTAATTTCATAATATATCATTGATGTATTATGACTGTAGTTAATCTGAAATAAAAAGTTAAAGATTAAAATTTATAACTAGATTGTAAATTTTATACTCCTATACTACTGGGTGCTTAAATTACACAATACCAAAAACAATCATGGTTACAGGTTGCATGCAACCTTTGCACCCAAATGTATTTCAGAATATATGAATTTTCCAGATTTTAGGCCAATAAGATGTATATACTATATATAATGCAACATCTTCATCAGAGTCTTAGGGCAGCATTCTGCAAATAAATCATTAATACTTCTGTAATGAAATGCAGAAATATTCACAATAAATTAAAAAAAATATAAACAACTTTGTGTCAATTCAGATGTGCCAATAAATGGGTTACTTTTATTTTATTTCTATTAGTTTAAGTTTTCAGAGCTTTGAGATTTAGGAGTTGCAAATAAGAAAGTGTGCCTGTATAATCTTATTCCTCTGGAAAGCCTTTGATTGGCATTAGGCCATTCCAGTCTATATGTCAAGAGAGAAATGATTAAGGAAATCGACATGAGCAAACACAAGTATCACTATTAAAAGCCTAAGTCCGGATGATGATGAGGACATGCTAGAAAGTCAGGATAAAGATATCTATAAAAAATTTCTAAGAGCAGAAGTTACAACAGAAGGAGATTTATAATTAGTCTTAAAAAGAAACAAAGGTAGAGATCAAATCATTTATTTCCTTCATGTGACTGTAGAATCTTCCAGCCCCAGTATCATACTTCCAAAGACAAATGAAGAAACTGAGGACCAAAGATATTATTAGCTACCAATTCTTTATTAAATAATATTGGTAACTACTAACTTCTGTGTCAATGGAAAATTACATTTATGTTGTTGTTACATGAATTTGTAGAAGAATACGAATTCATTATGATCAAACTGCATACAGCACTCAGATTAAAATGGCAGAATTCCACGTAATATTCATAGACATCATTTCATCGTGAATTATCTGATAATATCCCCTAAATCTATTACTTAATATCACAAACTATAAATAATTGCTCAAATCATTATGTTAACAGAGCAATAAAATAATATACAACAAACTAAATTAAATCAAAATTGCACAATGGGTGATGAATAATGAAACAACTGATTTCTCACATCACAGATTATATAAATCATTTTCTTAATATCACTTGGGTAATTTATATGAATCAATTATTATGTCAAGAGCTAGTGTATCATGATGACTGATCTGATATTCTGCAAGAAACAGGCTGCCCTTCCTATCTAGGGTAAAGCTGCAAAGGAAACTAAGATGTTTGATCAAAATCCACTATTCCATACTAGTTAAGAGTTATTCTCTCTCCTACTGAAAACTGGCTACACCCTGATTATATTGATAATAATTATAGTAAAGAGTAACTTTTACCAAGTTCCTTTTAAAGAATCTTCAAGAAATAGTTATTATTGGCATTACAATAACATTCACATTGCCTTCTGAACTAAAGATTTCCATTTACACAGGTGAAAAAATAAAAGTACAAAGTCCAGGGTTACAGCGAACTTACACTATTTTATTTAACACTATTTTGTATTTTAAAAGTGTGTGTGCCAGCACCATTATACTTGCTTTAAAAATATTATTTAATGATTCTCTGTGGTATATATTATTATCAGCTCCATTTTATAGATGAATACACCAAAGTGTACAGGCATTAAATGCCTTGCTCACAATCACAAAAGTGACTAGAGCCAGGAGTCAGATCCATCTGGTCTCACTCCAGAACTGTCACTCCCCAAAAATACTATATTGCCATTTCTGTGTATGAATTCCAATTTTAAAACTAACAAATACAATAATTACATTTATTTTTCAGAAATATGAAGTATACAAACTTAGAAAGTAGAAAAATATTATCCACAAAACTAAACTTTTTAATTGAAGCAGAAAAGGCTAAAATGAAACTAAAGACGTAAAAAGGAAAAGAAATTCAGTATGAACGTAAAAAAGCATACAAAATCACATTGGAAGAAAGACTTTGCTTCCCTAAAGCAAGGGCTGTGGGATATTTTAAAGCATTACAGTGAAACACAATGGATTATTTGCCTTAATATCTCCATTTAGATCTCTTGGGAGAGACGACACTAGCTGAATATCAAAGATTATTTTTAAAATGTTCTCTGCGATGAAGTAAAATAATAAAATTTGATTTTTTAGCAAGAAGAATCTCTAGAAAGTGGATTTATAGACAGTATCTAAAGAGTGTCTGTTAAAGCACAAAAATATGTTAAGTCTCCAGCTTTATTTCTATTGTAGCTTACTCTCGAAGTACAAATATAGCTAACTCATAGCTAACGCATTCCAAGAAGAAATAACACAAACTACCCTCTTTGTTTCATACACATATCCTTACTCCTCAATTCTGAGATTATGGATACATATCTTCACATACCCATCATATAAATGTAAAATATGCATTTATCTACTTCCTATTTGACATAGAATTGTTTGGTTTGTCAGGTACCAACTTATTGCTGACCATGAAGAATCTCTAGAACATGAAGCATATCAAGACTGGTAAGTTAATTAGCCTTGAAACTTAAAATACACACACCTCTGAGACTTTCCTGAAGAAAGATCCGGGACCCCTGACCCACCCCCACCCCACCAGAGTAAACTCAGCTTCCTGGTTTGGGCAACATAAGGTAAGTAAGTTTTATCACTTTATTTAGGCTGTGTTCTTTTTAACTATTTTGATTGTGGCAAAATAAATATATGACATGAATTTTATGATTTTTAGGTATTCATGTTCAGTGTAAATATATTCACACTGTATAATACTGGCTGAGTAAAATGGCTGTGTAACCAAAACTATAACCCAGTTCCAGACCTTTTCATCACGTCAAGCAGAAACTCTGTACCCATTAAACACTAAATTCGCATTTTCTCCTCCTCCCAGTCCCTGGTAACCTCTATGCTGCTTTCTGTTTCAATGAATTTGTTCTAGATACTGCACATAATTGGAATCATACCATGTTTGTCCTTTTATGTTTGGCTTATTTAACTTAACATGCTTTCAAGGTGCGTCCATGCTCTAACATGTATCAGAATTGCATTCTTTTTTACATAGTATAATATTTTTATGCTTTTATATTTTTATACATAGTATAATATCTTTTTATACTAAGCACAACCTTTTGACACAGAATAAAATTTTATATTTATAAATTTTATATAATACTATATTTATATTTACAATTTTACATAGGCATAATTATATACATGCGAGTAGCTCAGTGATAAAAGAATCAATCTGACAGTGCAGGAGATGCAAGTTCGATCCCTGAGTCAGGAAGATACTCTGGAGAAAGAAATGACAATTTACTCCAGTATTCTTGCCTGGAAAATTCCATGGACAGGTGAGCTTAGCTGCAGTATTTGGGGTCACAAAGAGTCAAACACGACTGAGTGCCTAAGCACAGCACAAAGAGTCAGACACAAATGAGCACACATGCAAAGAGAGCAGAGTGGTAACATACACATAAACATGTCACATCTTATCCATCCAATCCTCTGCTGATGGACATTTGGGTGGCTGTCACCATCTGACTATCGGGAAGAATGTTGCTATGAACACTGGTATACAAGTATTGGAGCGAGTCCTTGTTTTCAGTTCTTCGGGGTATGTACCTAGGAGGGGAAATGCTGGGTCATATGGAATGGCTACCCACTCCAGTATTCTTGCGTGGAGAATCCCATGGACAGAGGATCCGGCAGGCTACAGTCCGTGGGGTCACAAAGAGTAAGACACACCTGAACGACTAATACTTTCACACTTTTCATGGTAATTCTATATTTAACTTTTTAAGGAACTGCCACTGTTTTCTACAGCACTCATACCATTTTACATTCTGAACCAGTACTAAATTCTCAATATACTTACCAACACTTATTATTCTGTATTTTAAATATAACACCCAGAACATTATACTGTGGTTTTAACTGTAAATCCCACCTCTTGTCATTTGCTAGCAACATGGATTTGGATGAGCCATTTCACTTCTTTGGGCCTCAGTTTTCTCACTGGTGAAAAGAATCCAATAGTTTCTGCCATGCCTGTCTCACAGAGTATGGACCAAATGGAATAGTGCATATAGGTGAAATATTATTATTTCTGTGTTACTAATATCAGCCTTGCTTCCCAGGTAGCAAAATGGTAAAGAGTCCGCCTACCAAGACAGGAGATGCAACGGACACACGTTCAATCCCCGGGCTGGGAAGATTCCTGAGAGAAGGAAACAGCAACACACTCCAGTATTCTTATCTGGAAAATTCCATGGATGGAGGAGCCTAGTGGGCTACAGTCCATGGTGTCGCAACGAGTTGAACACTACTGAACAATTGAGCACTCACTCAACATCAGCCTCTTTAGCAATACCACACCTGTTTTAAGATAGATGTACCAAGCTATCTTAACCTAAGATCAAAATAGTATCATGTGTATAACTTGATTTTTAAAACTTTTCAATCAAAAAGTACATAAAATAAACATCTAGTAAATGAATATTATAAAGTGATTACTCATATAA